GTGCCCCCCCTGCCTCTGCCTCCCGAGTGCTGGGATTAAAGGCGTACGCCACCAATGTCCGGCTAACATTTATTATTTTTTTCCAAATTATTTCAATATGTTTTATTTCATTTGTGTGCCCTAACAATGCTTATGTCTTGATTGTTTTGTTAGTTTCTTTTCCTCTCCTTCCCCTCACCCCCAACCTTCCTCCCCCTTACCCCCATCCCTCCACCCTCCACTCCCCAGGCAGCGTAGGGCCCTCAACCAGGGCTCCGCAAAGTCCACCACATCATCCTTGGCTGGGCCTGGGCCCTTCCCCATGTTTTCCAGGGTCAGAATGCATCCCTTCACGTGGGATGGGCTCTCAAAGTCCCTTCTTACACCAGGGAAAAATACTAATTCACTACCAGGGGCCCCCTGGAGTGCAGAGGCCTCCTTATTGACATCCCATGTTCAGGGTCTGGATCAGTCTTGTACTGGCCTCCCAGACAGCATCTGGGGTCGATATGCTCTCCCTTGTTCAGGCCGACTGTTCCTGTGGGTTTCTCCAACCTGGTACAGACCCCTTCGATCTTCATTCCTCCCTCTCTTCAACTAAGTTCTAGAGTTCAGTTCAGAGTATATCTGTGGATGTCTGTCTCTGCTTCCATCAGCCACTGAATGAGGGCTCTTGGTATGGGACAGGTTGACCCATTTATTATTTTTTTTAAATGAAGAGTATGTAAATAATTTTTGTCTGTCAACTGTCTTTCTGGACACATTCTAGTGTCTGAGCTAGCTAGCACAGTGAAGTATCACAGGCTAATGTATAATTTAACTATGAGAAACTAGCAGTATTCATATACAAAGAATACTGTCTATGATTGAATTTAACATGGTGCATGGCTCACTCTGCCTCCTGAGTGCTGGGATTAAAGGTGTGTGTCACTACGGACTGGTAAAAGTCATTTTTATATGAATTGAATTATGCTGACATAACATAGTCCCTGTGTGAAATAAGAGATTCTCGAGAAGTGATAACCTGTAATGTTTAGCTATCGATAAACAGAGTTTCATGGGTGGCTTTTTTTTCTGATAGAAATATCTTGTCTAGCCTAAAACTCACTCTAGACCAGGCTGGCCTTGAACCCATAGAAATCTACCCATCTCTGCCTCCCAAATTCTGAGATTAAAGGTTGCCCAACTCATAGGATGTTTTTTGAAACAGTGTCTCTACTCTGTTGTTTAGGCTGAGCTTGAATCCTGAATTAATGATCTCAAGTGGTAGGGATCACAGACACTTGGTAGTTTGTTGTTGTTTGTTTAAGAGATGAGGTCTCCCTATATCTCATGCTGGTCTAGAACTCACCTATGTAGTAATTAATGCTGGCCTCAAACTTGTGATGCTTCAGTCTTCCAGGCACTGGGATTACAGACATGTGCCACCACACCCAGCTCACAGGGTCTTTTCTAGGAGGCTTTTCGATTTTGGCTGCTAGGCATTTCAGCATTGGGCCAGCTAAGTAAAGGAGGCCGTTGGAAACGAATGCAGAACTGGAAGAATACGTTTTTGTAGGTACATTTTAGGTAAAATGTACTCGATCAACTTAAGCTTCCATCTCAGCTGGACAAAAAAATTGGATTTTGTCCTTTTGCCCTCTGTGCCTCTGTGCTAAGCAACAACGTACTCCATTCCTCAGACTAGGACCTTAACAGCTGTGCCAACAACTCTGCTTGAAAAAAGAGTGCAGGCTTAATGCTGTCTGCGCAGATCCCCCTGTCAGTACCTCTCTCCATCAACAGATGATCAGCAGGTGACATCGACCTCCGAACACTGTTTATCTCAGATAGATGAGTCAAATGCCGGGAAGTTGAAGCTCTGGGGGCCTGCTATTAGAATTGGAATAAGATACTTGGAACTGTTGGTCACAAGGGAAGAGGTATTGTGACAAACCTGCTGTGTTATTTAGACACCTCTGTCCAGCTGCCATAGGGATGACATGAACAACTTCCATTGACCTTGAATTGCAGGGACCTCATGTATGCCTCAGTTCCCCTGCCACTGAGCTACATTCCCAGCTGTTGAAGTGACTGCATAGGATTATCTTGGAATACCTCATTGCTTTGAATCCACTCCAGTTGAGTGAGCATTTCAATGGCAC